CAGGCATACATAATACACACACGCACACACACACACACACACACACACACACACACACACACACACACACTGGCTTGATATTGTGACTCCAGATCAAATTATTCAATTGTGCTATCAGAGTTACACTGATAGCCATGTCTAGTGGTTATTCAGGTGGAGGCTGGACAAGATGGATTCTATGGTAAAAAATAATCAATTAACATACAGGTAAAATTTTTATATAGAGGAAAATAAAGGTCACTTTATGTAAATAAAAGGAAATGCACATGACTTTGAAGAGGGGTGTAGAATTAGTCAGGAGTTTTCGATATGGAAACAATACCAGAATGTGTAGGACATCCATTAAATTCTGTGTATATGTCTTTCTCCTTGGATGGTCATATGGAATAGTCAGTTCTGAAGGGGTTTCCCTGAATCTGTCATGAACAGCAGTTTTGTTACAAAGACAAGGGCAGGCAGAGCAGTGTGCACAGCTAGAATGATGCTATAAAAGATATTATCACACCACCTCTATGTGCAGGTCAGTTTCAGGGTGATGAGTTTGCAGAAATTCAAGAGAAACCAGAAAAGAGAATGTTTTAGCAGTTTTCATCCATGCTATGAAGCCAGACAAGACAAGGTAAGCCAAACTGAGGATACTTTCACGGAATTACACTAGACAGTCTTCCTTCTCCATTGACTACACAAAAAAAGATGATTTATGGGAAGCAGGTATGGAAGTAGATATGGTGACTTGAAGATAGAGATATTTGGAACATTTATATATACAAAACCAAATGACTTACAAGAACTGCCCATCAGCTTAATGTCAGATCCACTCTGAGGATTTTGCTTATACTACCTTATTTTATTATTATGACTCCTGAGTATTAATATTATCATCATGATAATGGTTCTCATCTTCCAGATAAAATGGATAGCAGAAGAGAGAAACATTTTCTCAAAACACCTTTAATATAATTAGGCGATCTTTCACAGACATTGAAGTCTATGATATTTCCATTAAAAGAAAACATTCCAGAGGAAAGATTTCTAAGCACAGCTCATGGATTCCAGTTTCCTTTCAAGCCATTCTTCATCTGCCCACTTATCTGCAGAAGACTTAAATGTCAGTAGTGAGTGATGCTTCCCACCTCATTAGGCCTATGAAAAATAACAATAAGTGAAAATACTCATTTGCAAATGTAAACAATTGCTTTAGAATGATTATGGCTAACAAACAATTCACCTGAATCCACTTTTGATTTATGCATAATCTGTCATCACTAAGTCATGAAGGATAATTAAGCTTAAGTTATTAATTATAGTGGAAAGAAGTAACATTTAAAAAGATAATAATTTGAAGATCAAGAATTATATTTAACATAGAAATACGAAAGTGGGCCTCAAACACTAATATAGATATTTATAGTTTCATGGTAGGTGCCTATACCACCATTTCCCAGCACAGCAGCAACAGCTGATGAAATAAGTATGTAAAAATGACCTGTGGGATTTGGCATATATCTCATTGAATTAAATGCCATGAGTGTTGAGACCTGATGCTGGATGATATTCAGTTAGAGTTTTGGAGTAAAGCATAGATACTAAGTTTGTAACTGATTGAACTTGCCAGTACAGATGGTGAACATGCATG